GGTTATTTCTTCCGCATTGTTAGTTGTTAGATCTTGTGTTGAAGTTTATGGGAACTTCAGTTTTAGCTATTATTTCTGCTTTCATATACTTAAATGCCTTAGTTTTTAGATTAGTTGCTTGGTTTGGGTTGTAGTAATGGTTCTCCCACCGGAGTGTTAGTGTGCGTGCCAATCACGACGGTCTGGGTCGTGACAACGAGCACATGTGTCTTTGTAGAATTCAAATGGCATTAAAGGGTATTTTTGTCATAAGATATTAAATTATCAAAGGAAATTTTTTATAAATTATATATTTAGAAATTACGTAAAAATTATTATAAATTAGAATAATTAACAATTAAAATATTTTTAAAAAATCATATAAAAAATTACAATCAAATAAAAATTTAATTGACTCTCCAAATTTCATCTGTATCATATAAATTGAAACAAAGAGCAAGGAAAGTAAAGACATTTCCAATAATTTATATATTTGCAAATTATGAAATCACAATAATTAACAACATAAATTGATCTAAATTTTATCAAAAAAGAAATTTGATTGATTCTCAAAATTCTACTTGTGTCGTATAAAATAGAACATAAAAAATAAAGTTTCCAAAAAATAATATATATTGAGCACGAGCTCATGTATCTAGTTATGATAACATATGTTTACGTAAGTGAATTTCTGGTGTTATTATGTATAGTTTTATGTTTTCAAAATAAATCATTGGAGGCAATTTTAAGGATATACGTTGCTAAACAATTATTGTGGATTAATTGCTAAATTTCCACTTCCAAGCTTATGAGCAGACACAAAATTTCCTAATTGTAATTTCACCCACTTATAAGTTAGAGATAAATATATCTATACCTTATTTGAATTGCGTTGATCTGATTATTGAGTTTGTTACATTTATGCTTTCATCCTGAGGTTTTGAACCAAATATTTTGAATGATAAGATAGTGAAGGATTCATGGTCAAAGGATAGTTTTAAGATTCAATGTATGTTACAAGAGGTGTTAGGAAAAATGTCTCCGACCTCTCCTTAGATTCTTGTTGGTTCGCGTTTGTCCATAGAAGCTACATTGGTAAAAATACCTAAATAGGGAAATTTATCAAAACAACAAATATTTAGTGTTAAATAAGACTCTATAGCTATAATTTGCTTAATTATGGATAATAGCAAAATGTTAGGGGAGGAGGGAGGAGAGACGCGAACGAGAGAGAGGAGAGAGAGTATTTTTTCGTTGATTTTGGAGAAAAAGAATACAAATACAAACTGATTTGTATCAAAATAAATACATATTAAGAAGATAAGAGGCGAGCGAGATCGAAAGAGGGAGGAGAGAAGCGAGCGAGATCGAGAGAGGGAGGAGAGAGGCAAGCGATATCGAGAGAGGCGAGCGAGATCGAGAAAGGGAGGAGAGAAGATTGTATTTTGTATTTATTTTGCATTGTATTCTGTATTTATTTTATATCAATTCTATTTGAAATACAACGAATACGACTGTATTTTTCCTCTTTTTGATTAGATACAGAGAGGATGAATCCATATTGTATTCGTATGGATACAAATATGATTGATACAAAAATAAAAAAAATACAGTTTTTCGAATACAATTGAAATAACATACAAAACTCTCACCTATATTTGATTGAATATAATTGATACATGATAAATTTGAATGTGTTTCTTTTTATTAGGAAGAGAGAGAGGGAGGGGGGGGGGGGGGGAGGAAGAGGAGGAGGAGGAGAGGGAGAAGGAGGAGAAGGATAAGAAGGAGAAGAAGAAGGAGAAGGAGGAGAGAGGAAGGGTAGGAGAGAGGGAGAAGAGGAATTGTTTGTTATAACAACATATTGCTCTTTTTGTAATATTTTGAAATTATAGTCATTTTTCGTAAATATATTGTTGACTTTAACTAGTTTAATAATTTTCTCATTTATTGACTTAACTCAATTAGATTCGTTCAAATTCAACTCGACCTCCACATTTGGCACATCTAACTATTTCATGACCATGTAGCATCGTATTTTAGGTAGAGCAATATTTCACTCAGTATAACATTTTTTAGATCATAAATTTCCCTTGACTTCTTTATATTTGGATGGAGAAGGTTTGAATAGGCAGTGTTGGTTATTTCAAAACAAACAACTTGTGGATTGGGACCATTTCTCTTTAACTAGGGTTAGAATAGAAGAAGTTTATGCTAATTATTATTATGAAGTGTATGTGTCTCTCATTTTGATTCTCATCCACTTCTTCTATATATGGTCTTTCCTTTTTGTGCTTTTTTATTAGTTATTCAAATATTGATAGTCGTAATAGAGTCTGATTAAATTTAAATTTGTGTTGAAAAGTCTCACATCAAAAAATAAAGTACTCTCTAACAAAAGCAATTCCAGAACAAGGGGAACTCAAACTCGATGAAAGAGTACTTACAACTCCACCACAACCCTTATTGATTTTTCTTTATATGTTTGTTCTTAGCAATTTCTCTTCCGTTCCTAAATTTTGTAATTCCAGTTTACAACTTAGAAAAATACATCTATAGCTTATTTGGGTTGGAGTTGTGTTAGTTTGATTATCGAGTTTTCTTTTTTTCTTTTCCATCCAAGATTCGGTATCCGCATTAGAACTTGATTAATTTGAATTCACATCGTGTAGGGCCTCATTTTGAAGAGAAGCACTCCTTATTGGAAAAACATTTTTATACCCACCCAAGGTTCAAACTCTCGAGACATCTGATTAAGAAAGGAACAATCTCATCTATTTCACCATGTTCTTTAGTGAATTTGTTGGGGGCAAGGTCCCTCAATGAGCCCAAGGGACAAAAGAACTAAAAGATGAAAAAACAAAATACTTGCAAGGCAAAGGTTAAAGATTGAAAGGCACAAAGTAGGACTTTTATTCTCTGTGGTCCTAAATTATGTATTCATTATGGAACTGCCAAAATCTAAGGGTACTACTTCTTCTTGAATGATGTTGATTCTTCATAGCTCTGTGTTCATCTCTTATTCTCTATTAATCAAAGGCCAAATATATTATAGTAGTACACTTTTTACAAAATTTTTCATTTATAAATGTCTGCGGTCGTTTGGTTGGGAACAAGCTATCCAAGGATTAGTTATTCTGGGTTAGCGATCCTGGGATAACTTATCCCATTACTATGATATAAATGGTGGGATATATAAGTTATCCCAAACATGGCAACCAAACAAGATATAAAATTTTTATCACATCACTTTTTTCTTATCTCATCACTATTTATTTTTATCCCTCACACCAAACGAAAAATTTATTTTACACCACAAATAATATCTTATAAATTGAGACGAAAAAAATATAACTTTGACTATATTACTTTCTATGACATTGTATCTTGAACGAGTGAAATTTGGTTTCCGTATTTCTATTATTCTCCTTATTGGAAGTTGTGATAAAGACAAAGGAAATTTCTAGAAAGTTTACTTGTATGAATCAAGTCAATAATGAACATAACTCTTCAAGCCAACGAAAAAACACAGAAATTACTACTAATACTAATTTGTTTCTGATTGAATTTATAAATGTCTGCTTATTTTCTTATAAAACCCCTTCTTCCAAGAAACTTCCTATTTAATATTTGTCCAATTTCAACCACAAGTAATGTCTTGTGATTGTTATATTATTATTTTTTAGGTATATTAGTCCGTACGAGTAAAGGACATGGGATATTTCCTCTCAATTCTTGATTGAAGTACTATATATAGTTACCACATCTTCTTTGAAGTTTTTCTCTAAGGCATCATTAATACGCGTCAGAAATTTACTGGCTTGATTAATTCAGAAAGCCTTCGATATAACTTCATTGTTCGATCATGTCTCCAATCAACTCAATTAATTTGTCAAGAATCTTCTCAAAGCTTGACAAGAATGGTGATGGCCTTGTGTGTCTTGATGAGTTAAAAGGATTTCTTGATACAATAGGAATTATTGCAAGTCAAGAGGAGCTAGAGTTGCTACTTGGTAAAACAAGCCTAGACTCTATTGATTTTTTCTTCTTCTATGATGCTATCACAAAAGCAAATATTAATAAAGGTAGCAATTATAAGCACGAGGATCGAGAAAATGTTTTCTTGGAAAATGACCTTCGTAAAGTGTTCAGAGTATTCGATTTAAACGAGGACGGATTCATATGTTGTGAGGAGCTGCAAAGAGCATTGTCAAGATTAGGATTGTGGGATGAACAATGTGGGAAAGATTGTAAGAGTATGATTAATGTTTATGACAAAAATTTAGATGGAAAACTTGATTATGAGGAGTTTAAGGACATGATGTTTGATAATTAATTAGAATTAGAGGTATGTAATATAATATAATATAATATAATCCCGCTTACAATCTATCAAGAAAAAAATTTGTTTTAGTTGTATGCATTTGGATTAATGATGTTAGATGGTTTGCTGGGGATTTAATTTTGTAGTTTTGTTGAACTTTATATTACTAAGTATTATTAATGGACTTTTATTTAATATACTCTAGAAATATTAAGCTGATGACTTTTCTCTTGTACTTTTTTGTTCATAATTTTGTATAAATAACTTTCAACATTTGAATTTAGATGTTTATATTTGCAAGAATTTAATAATATTTCAATCAGATCTTTTTCTTGCAATATCAGCAACCTTAATTGACAGCTAAGGAAGCCAATTAATTAAATAATTATAATACAATAGTATGAGTGCGTATTATTTTATGTGGAAATTAGTTGTGTTGTAATCATGTATTTTCCACCTTACATAAAACAATATTGATGCCGTATTAATTTTTCACGTAAATGACTTACTTCCTAACTAGCTACCAAACGTGGTATTACTTATACAAGATTTAATACCGATATAAGTGTAAATGATTTTTACACAATCAAGTCAATAAGAGTAAATAGCAACTGAAATTAAATCTGAGGCTCTTGCAATCTTTTAGAGCTAAGTAACAAAAGATTACTTGTAAGGTTAGAAATAAATACAAATTAAATTCAAAGTAACCAAATTGCTCAATTATTTACAGTTTAAAAAAAAATAAAATTCTCTCCAGAGACATTGAGGCTTTTTCAATTTTGTATTAAACCATCTATCTTCTTTAGAAATAAGTGTTGTATCAAAACATATAACTAATGCGGGATGCTTTTTGTGCACTGAGATGCTCTTTTTTATTATAGACGCTTTTCGCCTATCAAAAGCTTCCAATTAGAATGAGGTCCCTCGCTGCTATCATATTTAAATGACACCCATCCTAAGGCTTGTGCAATTTCTACAAGCTCTTCGATAACAGGTGTGGTGTCGCGAATATAAACTCGTCCCCCGGGTCTAAGAATTCTGTCTATTTCAAGCATGATAGTTGTCACATTGCATCTGCATGAATGAGATGTGAGGATATATAATCAATCACCTTCACATAAAATGAACTGCTTTGATGAATCACATTGATCGAAAAGTTAAGGCAAGGTGAAAAAGTATTATACCTGTTTTTTTCGACTGAGAAAAGAGCAGCTGCGTGGACTAAATCATACGTTCTTGGATAAGTATCAAATGGCTCACACCTGGAGATCAAAACAATAGGATTTAAACAAGTCAAGCTTTTCGTGTTCACGTTCTAATTTGTTGGTAAGAAGTGGTTTTCAAACCACTGAAATTGATTTTGGTGTAAGCCAGCCCCGTTATTCGTTTGATACATGATCATCTAGAGTGCAATATAAGATGTTCAAATCCACAGAGACATGTTATCAAATCTACTAACGAATAAAAGAGAGAATTCTATGATCTACTGTACATGCCACATCGTGTGGTGCACTAATTTTGGCAGTACATGAATACCATGATCCGTCACCAACTCTGATGATTAGACTCCAGAAAAAACTTGTAAACATTTGATGTAAATACTATCCACAGAAAGAGAAGTGTATTTTACCAGTCATGCATGACTCCAATGAAACCCCGGTCATATAGAACAGGCAGTGTATTAGGACCACTAACGGGAACAACATTCATAACCCAGCAATCGAAGTTGAAATCATGCAATGCAGCTGCAAACCTACCAAAACATCTCAACAATTAGGAGCACTGCAGCTTAAAATGTTTTTCAAATAGCAAAAGCTTTAGATGTCAGCAGAGCATATGTAAAATGGAATGAATAGATCCAATTCTTTAAATGAAACATACCCCCCATATACAGCTCTCATGTCCAGCACGTTTCGTAGGTTTAACGTCTCCCAACGGAAAGCACCAATATATCCTTTTATTACGGTATACCAAAAATTTGACTCTGCTCTATAAATCTCCCTCCTAGATAATTCAGCATCCATTTTTATACTAAACAGCCTGTCCGGTGGAGAGTGAAGGCGTGCAGGCCAAGCAGTCACGTTAGCTCCATAGCCATTCTCAGGTAATTGTGTAATACATTTCGTTAGGTTTACGTTCCTGCCACAAAGAATCAATAAAACAAGCATCAGCCACACATAATTACAAATTCAATTATAACCTTGTCACAATATATTCAGTTTTCTTAAGACCCCTATCGTCAGTCATCCCTTGGACCTCTAAAACTTTTGTAAGGAAACAATATGTATACACACACGGACATACTCTATTAAGATAAATTCATGCAGATAACAAATAGGACTAGTTGATATGAGTAAATGACTAAACAGGAGCCAAGGAAAATGTTAGGCAAGCATCGATATTGATGAAATTAGAGCATGCTACATTATGAAATTGGCAAAAGAGAGAGTAGGAAATACCAGACATTATCTGGATCATCACCAGCTGAACATAGAGAAGGTTGAACTGCTGGAGCGTGACTGAGATAGCAACTATTATTCAATGGCTTCCTCCAAATATAAATGTCACTCTCCTTCTTTAATAACTCCCAGCATAGGCGTCGAGTAAGATCCTCCATTTCTGCATAACAGTAAGGAACATAAAGCATAAGCAACATTTCACCTTAACACAGTTTATAGAACTCACAGTCATGATAAAACTGTGAAGAAAATAACCAAAATGGACATAGCATTTAATTTACAAGAAGATTTCTAACTCATTAAAATATCTGACTCTCCTTGGGCTACATAAAGAGAAATCTAAATATAGACTCTCTGCATAATTCGCAAACAGAAACAAGTCCAGATGATTCGTGTCTACATTTTTTACTCACATCAGCCTCTATTTGATGGTGCCCTATTGCTAGATAATGATAAAGCAGTTACCTTTAAGTGGTGCAAACAAGTTCTCTTCATGTTTGTGAACAGGTTCTGCTGCCCAGATAAAATATCCTCCTGCCCTAAGCATTCTGTTTACCTCTAGAAGCAGAATGCCATCTTCACCGGAAAATCAAAAAGCAATAGATGAGAAGCGAAAGATTACGTTGGCAATATCCACCCCTTAAACAATCTTAGATAATGTAGCAAAGGAAGAGAAGAAGCCCCAAAAGATACTTACATAGAGATGCAAATACAATTTACTTATTAAAGAAGAATGCCTGTAAAACTCACAAGATGTTTTTTTCTATTGTTGATATGTTCCTTTCTATTTCCCATATAATGTTGTTGGCCACATGTCTACCATTTTTTTCTTTTTTACATTTTTCTTTTTACAGGGGAGATGACATTGATTTTAGTTAAAAAGAACAGTTTAAGACATGTCACAATATCAAAACCTAGCTTTGCATCAGATATTTGTACCATAACAAAACATTTCAACTTTGTCTTGGAAGTAACAGAATTCTGAACGATTTCTTGATCAAAAACTTGATGATGAATAGCAATCTATAGTGAAACAAACGAGATATATACCATCACGGGTCCAATTTATGCTACATCTGGAACAATGTATCATGTCAAATGCCTGGCTAGGGTACAAAAGACGGTGTGTAGTAAATGCTGCGAACATAGCAGGCACTCCACGTTCCAATGCAAATTGAATCTGATTGTTATGCACATCTTTTGTTGCAATGGACAATGTGCTGACATTGCGGTCCATCAGATATGCCCCAAAACTCGCTATTCCACAACTAATATCCATGACAACTCTTGTTCGTTGGCCAAAAGCAATTTCTGGAACCATCTATGGTTGCATGAAAATAGTAGCATAGTCAAGTAATATTGATGAAACATAAACCAAGTAAGAAGTGCAGATGCAGAGTACCTTAGAAATCTGATCCAAGTATTGATTTACACCCTGGGCAAATTGTGTCCTGTCTCCTGGAAATATGTACTTGTCACCCTTCCTTACTACCCACTTATTGCCTGCTTTTCCTTTGGCAAAGGGTGTACGGGCCACATTGGATAACCATATCTGTTTAAAGCTACAGCTTTAGAAGTAATGCCTTGAATCTTCAAATAAAGAAAACAGCACCACACTCGTTTTTGTTTTCTAATACCAATAATAATGGTTTACTTGTGCCGAGGGTCTATCGGGAACAACCTCTCACCTCCACAAGGTAGGGCAAGTTCTGTGTACACTCTAACCTCACCTGACCCCACATTATGGTATTCATTGGGTATGTTGTTGTTATAATATAATAAGAATGGTGGATAAGACTAAATTTTAATATTGTTCTCTCGGTCACTTCTAAATCATAGAAATGCTCATACTTCTAGACAGACTGTGTTCCGAAATGTGAAGAAAAAGATTGCGGATTAATGAGTGTCATCACAGCTCACACCAGAGAATAAATGATCACATATTGAACAAAAGAGGAACAGTTGTGGCATTTTCCCTCTAACAGGAAATGAAAGAAAAGAAAACAGAAGATAGTGACTGACAATGGCTAGAGAAATACCACAATCTTAGGAAATAACTAGGCCAGTTTCTAATTAATTGGATGACTAACATATGTGGTGAGTTATATTATTGATCAGAGAATCCATGGTGATAATTATCTAAGACTAGCAAGATAAATTACATAGCACATGGTTAGAGGACAGGGGAAAATTAGGTGATGAAAACATGGGGTGTGTGCCTATCAACTAGCAGCTGCCCCATTCTTAATATTAAGTAGTTATTGAGGGCATTCAATCACCATGATAACACAGTAAAGAAAAGTCTAATACCTAACCTACACCACCTCAGAGAGTTTGGTAGGACTTGGAGCAACTTTACCCATAAATTACAACTCCCCCAGACCTGTCTCGTGCAAGTATGTAGCGTGGAAGAAACCATAACCTAGCTAGTCAAGAACCAAAATTCCTAGACAAGCCATTTGCAACTATTCCCCTAATTCTAAACTATAAGATCAACCATATTCCAGCCCCCAAGGCCTAGCTCAAGTGGCAAAAGGTGGAGGATTTGTGGCTTAGGTCGCAGGTTCAAGCCCCACACCATGCAAAGCGCAGCCCGGTATTTAAGTGGAGAAGGGTAGAGGGGCGGGCCCGATTATCCACCGAGTTTAGAAGGCTGTGATTGGTCCAAAGGGCGGGTCACAGACGGATTTCTCGGTTATCAAAAAAAAAAAAAAAAAGATACAACCATATTCCAGCCCCCAAGGCCTAGCACAAGTGGCAAAAGGTGGAGGATTTGTGCTTAGGTCGCAGGTTCAAGCCCCACACCATGCAAAGCGCAGCCCGGTATTTAAGTGGAGAAGGGTAGAGGGGCGGGCCCGATTATCCACCGAGTTTAGAAGGCTGTGATTGGTCCAAAGGGCGGGTCACAGACGGATTTCTCGGTTATCAAAAAAAAAAAAAAAAAAGATCAACCATATTCCATTCCTGTAAATGAGAATCGACGAAAATAATACTTGTAATTTAGTTGGCCAAATTCACCATCACCATTAATTAAAGTGGAGAAAAAACAAATAAGAAACCTAAATAACTAAAAGTATGTTAGTAATTCAATTCACCTTCACCGTTAATTAAAGATGGAGCAAAAACCAAACAGGAAACTTAATTCAATTTGCAAAATTCACCATCACCATTAATTAAAGATGGAGACAAACCAAATAATAAGAAACGGGCCTTACTAAACAAAAGTTTCTTCAATTTGGTCGAAAGTCGTAAAGAAGGCACCGGATAAGCAGCTAACATAAACTACTACCGTACAATGCATCTCGCGGGCAGCCTTCAAAGGCTGTCATTCTCTAGACCTAGTAGAGGTTCGAATAGACAAGATTATAAGGACCAGCCTCCAGGGACCTGCCAGACCACTGATCTCACTTAACCTCTCGATGTCACAAATAACAATAAGAAAGTAGGGTTAAGGATCACTCACGTAACCGACAAGCTCAACATTAACTAAAAGTATGTCAGTAATTCAGTTAAGTCAAATTTACCTTCACCATTAATTAAAGATTGAGCAAAAACCAAACAGGAAAATAATTAACTAGAAGTATACTAACAATAATAATGAATAAAACATAAATCCAATACCTCATCCCTGCTCTTTGGCCATGTTATCCTTAGTTTGTAACCTTTAGGCCATGGCACCAAACAATCCAATCCTTTTCCTTTTGGAGGGCAATGCCTTTCCAATCTTCCCTCCATATTATCCAAACAAGGAATATAATCCCTCATACTCTCATCACAAACTTTAAATTTCCCAATTTTACCCCTCAAAACTCCTCCTCCATTCTCATCACTCCCATTCTTCTCATCCACCACACTGTCTATCACCTCCTCATCAAACTCCCCCACCACAAACTCATTCGTCATTGCCCCATTCTCATCAACAATACCCGTCCTCTCCATCCCCGGCTGTCGGAGCTCTGGAACA